ACCTCGGGTATGTAAGAAGGGGGACTCAATCAGAAAATGCAAGGAGGCTAGCAGCAGAGATCTGGGTTGGACCTTTTCCAGGTGAGCAAGAGGGCAGGAGGGGAATTACTCTGTGTTCGGACAGGATGATCTGATGTCCCAGGTTGGGGATAGCGGCCAGAAACAGCAGAGGGATACACTGATGAGCTTTCTGCTTTGGGAGCAGGAATGTGACTTTCCTGGGAAGGACTTAGAGGGTGAACCCATCCTTTGGGGAGGAAATCCAGCTCTGGCAGTGGACATCACCCCCGGGGGAGAAGGGTAACATCCTCCCTGGAGCTTGAGCCAGCTCTGTCTTGCCCTGATAGGTCTGGGGAGCCCAGGCTTGGGAATAGGGTTTGTTGAAATCTGGGCTCTGCTGAGAGCAGCAGCTTCTCATTTTTGTCCGGCATGGGAAAATGTCCTTTCCTTGGTCAACCAGGTAATGAGACTTGGGGAGTCAGTAATGCAAGATTGGTTACTGAGCTTGTTTCCAGGCCATTGTCCCTGCCTCCAGACTGCGGAATAACTTTGACTTTATGCCCTTCCCACTAGGGGCCTCATGAATGATGTCTCATCCTCAGGAGATAGTTTCACAATGCATCCCCTCTGTGGGAAGGGGCTGTTCAGGTGTGCTGGCCTCTGGGAGCATGGAGGGGAAGGATTCCCCTCCTTTCCTGGCTTGGAAGAAGTAAGGGAGCTGTAGGCAGCCCGTGTCCACTATTTACTGGGTGACTCACTAATCCAACCAGAGAGCTTGAACTTCCTGCAGTGACTGAGCCCAGCACACAGTTTCAGGTACACAAAAACAGCAACAGTCACATGCCCGTTGACCAAGTGACCTGTACCAGGAGTCTTTGAAAGTCACCTGCCCAGGCACTCTGGGGCAGTAGGAATCACATCGACAACGAGAACATCAACAGGCTGAGAGCCACTCACAGTGTCAAGGTTCCTAAGGGTGCCCACACCTGCCCCGAAGTACACACTCAGAGCCCCCTGGGCTCTACATGTCCCATTATATACCTGCTCCTTCTTCTGGGTGGCTCTCATTTTGCACGAGTCCCTAAGCTGGTGGTTTTCTTCACTGTGGAAGGAGATTTTCCACATCTACCTCTTTTTCTTTTCCCTTGATTCCTCCCTCTCCTGCAGAGACGGAAGAGGCAGGGGACAACTATGAGTTTATTCCAGAAGCCGGAGGACAAGAAGCTGCAGGATGCCATAAAAGCCCTGAGTTATAGAATCTAATCCACTAGAAGGAGCTTTAGAGCATTACATAGCTCAGTCTCTGTGTTTTAACAGAGGACCCTGAGGCTGCACCGAGGAAGGGATGTGCCCCATTGCTTCAGGCTGGGCAGTGGCCAAGCCTGAGTTTGGTGATGTGGGTGACATGGGCAGGGAGGGTACAAGTTTAGTGACCTCAGGGGGCTCACTGATATTTCCTGCTTGTGTGTGATAAGAGATTGATCAACAGATCACCACTGAGCATCTGGTTTGTACAAGGCACAGATTAAAAAGACGCTATATTTTTAATTTTTAAAGTAATCCTTCCTCTCAAAGTGATGACAACCTAACAGTAGAGATAAATAAATAAGTAAGTAAAACATTTGTTCTAGGGGAACAGGAGGCTTTCTAGACAGAACACCTTTATCGATTGAAAGACAAAACGTTGAATGCTATGATATCAGGAAGTGATACTTGAGTATGCAAAAGAACCAGAGGTGAGGGACTGGAGAGGTTCCCAAGGCCAAGTGAGAGAGCTGGGAGCCTGGCATACTGAGTGAATTTAGCTGCCTTTCAGGATCCATCGGGGTGTTGGGGGAAGTATGGGGGGGTGGGGTGGATTGGGAGGTTGGGGTTGGGGGCTGGGTAGGGCTCAGGCGGGCCGGACCATCCTATCACCATTGAAGGGAAGGGAGGGGGAGAATTCTGGCTGGATAGTCTTTGCCGGCAGCAGCTTCCGCCCTTCTTGGCTGGGATAAGAGGCAGCAGGGCGGCCCCCCTGCCCTCCACTAGCCAACTTGAAACAGAGCCACGCAGTCAGTCAGCTGGCAGCAGAAATGTCTGGGCATCTGTGTCTGGGGGAAAGGTGCCAGCCTGACAGGAAGAGCGAATGTGCCCATGTGGGCACATATGTGTAAACACAGGGCATGTGCGTGTGTAGCCACACGCAGAAGAGACGGAGGTAGGTGTTGTAATTATGAATGAAAACGGCACAGACATCGGGACGACCCCATGCCTCCCGAGCCCCCCACCCCGACGTCCATCCCCCTAGTGCAACAGCAAAACACCTGCCTCCTTCTGAAACTCCTGCAGCCACTGGCCGAGCAGCACAAAGCCCACTCTGCCCCGTGCCTGGCTCGGTCACAGCTGACCTGGGCTCCCTGCTCTCCGCCCACTGTGGTCGCCAAGACAAGGACCAGGAGGAAGGAAGACTTCCTCTAGGTCTTAACATTTAATAACGTCATGATTCCATGAAGGAAAGAGGGAGCAAAATATCAACACACAGATTTACTCTAATTGTTGGGTGGACATAACTTAGTTGACAGCCCAGAAACAGAAAGCTGTTTAAAATACATGTTTTGAGCAAGTTTCCCTTCTGATTATTATTACCTACAGAAATCAAAGGACTAGGTAGTCCTCGGCCTTTGTGGAGATGAGGAAATAGTGCTTCTTCACCCTATATTTTCCTCGGCTTTTTCACACACGTGCTTTCCCAAAGTTCATCAAAGTTTTCTTCTTTTTATTTATTTTTTTAACTTCAAAAAAATATGTATTTATTTTGAGGGTGCGGTGGGGGGGGGAAGGCAGAGAGATAGGGAGAGAGAGAATTCCATGCAGGCTCCTCACTGTCAGCACCAAGCCCCATGTGGGGCTCAAACTCATGAGCCATGAGATCACGACCTGAGCCAAAATTAAGAGTCAGAGGCTTACCCGACTGAGCTACCCAGGCATTCTTCTTTTTCTTCTTACCATATATGCTTAGAATAGAAAATTGGAAACTACAGGAAACTATAAATCTACCACTTACCCATTTTAAGAAACTTGCACGATTCCTACACATGCCTACGTAAGCTGGATGCCTCCAGCACATTAAAATACACCCATATCCCACATTTAAAGTTATCAGGTTGAACTGAAATTGTCCAGTTGACATGATGTCATATTTGGAGAACCTTTGATTAAGTGTTTATTCATTTTAATTTTGCCTTTTAAAAAATCTTGAAGGGGCGCCTGGGTGGCTCAGTCGGTTGGGCATCTGACTTCAGCTCAGGTCATGATCTCCCAGTTGGTGGGTTCGAGCCCCGCATCAGGCTCTGTGCTGACAGCTCAGAGCCTGAAGCCTCGTTCAAATTCTGTGTCTCCTCCTCTTTCTGGCCCTCCCATGCTCATGGTCTGTCTCACGCTGTCTCTCAATAATAAAAAATAAACGTAAAATATATATATATATATATATTTAAATAAATAAATAAATAAAACAAAAAATCTTGAAGCAATTTCTTTTCTTTTCCATATCTCAAATATTTTTAAGAGTCCTTGAAAAGTCTATAGGTCCCTGGCACTGGGCTTTATTGTGATTAATGAATTAAAGGGACCGCCTAATGAAAAAGTGTCAATGTTAATATTTCAGAATGCACCCTGTCAGTCTCTCCCATATATATATATATGTATATATACATATATATGTATATATACATATATAATATGTACATATTTATGTGTGTGTATATATGTATAGTTAAAGTATATGGTCCATATAGTTTTTTTTTTTTAATGTTTTTTTCAATGTTTATTTATTTTTGGGACAGAGAGAGACAGAGCATGAATGGGGGAGGGGCAGAGAGAGAGGGAGACACAGAATCGGAAACAGGCTCCAGGCTCCGAGCCATCAGCCCAGAGCCTGATGCGGGGCTCGAACTCACGGACCGCGAGATCGTGACCTGGCTGAAGTCGGACGGACGCTTAACCGACTGCGCCACCCAGGCGCCCCTGGTCCATATAGTTTTGAAAACTATTCTTTTCTACTCTGCATTGTTCATCGAGCAATTCCCAAATGGGGCTTGTGGACAGAGGTCTACAGTGTCTTCCAGACCCACTCCCACCCATGCCACAGCTTCTGGAACCACACACCCCTGAGGCAGAAACGCTTAGAAGACAGTTCATTTCCCTCCTCCCTGCATTTCACAGGGAAAGTAACTTGTCCCAGGTCAGTGGGTAGTTAGCATCAGAACCACGCTCAGAATTGAGGCCCCTGGCCCAGGTAGGGGGCGAAGAAGCCTCTGTTTGCCTTGGGTGCTCTTTGCCCATCTTTGGGGACCGGCTCTCCCTTCCATGGCTCCACCTTCCTCTGGTGCCCTGCACTGCCCTAGCCCGCCCAAACACCCCACCTCCACAGCTGCCACTGCTCTTGACCCAATTTCCCCATCCAAACTCCCTTGGCTGTCTTCCCCTGGTTGCATACCTGCTGTTGTCACAATGTTGCACAAGCAATTAATTTTACAAAATGTGAGTTTAAATTTTTAACGTTTTTTCTCCAGTTGTAAAAGTAACTCATGTGCACGCGAGAATAGTCTGGGGGGGGGGCGATATCTCGTAGTTGTATCACCCAGTAATGCTCATTATTAAAATGTTGCACAACAGATACAAATAAATGAAACCAATCAGTGAGCAGCTGTTCCTTATTCACTCAACAAATATTTGCGGAGCACCTACTACATGCCAGGCAGCGCTCTGGGTTTAGCATAGTAATTGACAAAACAGTCCAAATGCTTGTCCTCAGGGAGCTACCTGCTAGTGAGGACAGATAGTTGATCCGTACATAAATATAAAACACGTTTGATGGTATTGAGTACTATGAAGAAAAAAAAGGCAGTATGTTCCCAGCTTAAATGTTTACCATTTTTAAAAAAGTGGTATTATCGAAAAAGGGTTTGTTCTTGTTTTTCTTAACCTTTAAAAGTTTTTTTTTTGTTTTTTTGTTTTTGAATTGACTTTGGACTTAAAAGTTGCAAAGCAGTAGAAACACTTTCCATGCACTTCCCCAGCCTTCCTATCTTGGGTGTTCCCGTTGTGACGGTCCAGCTAGCGGGTTCACACAGATGCAGCTGTATCCATTAACCCTGACGGGTTTCTTCACGGTTTCGTCCGTGGTTCTGCTGCCGTCTGTCCTGGGCGAGGACCTCTCCGATCTCACATGCTGCACTCTGTGGCCGTGTGTCCTACCTTCTTCTGGTCTGGAAAGGTAGTTTTGAGTAGTCATAATTTGTTCGGTTTTATTTCGTTTTCCCAGTGTTTATTCACTCTTTCTTCTTGAATCTCACGATTTTTTCCCCTAGGTTCAGTTTTCTTTTCAGGTACATGCTTGCAAGTTTCCTTAATAAGGGTCTAGGGTGGTTCATTCTGTTTTTTGTTTGTCATTTGAAGATGTCTGCAATTTGCCTTCCTTTTTATTTTTATTTAAAAAAATTTTTTTTTTAATGTTTATTTATTTTTGAGACAGAGGGAGACAGAACATGAGTTGGGGAGGGGCATAGGGAGAGGGAGACACAGAATCTGAAACAGGCTCCGGGCTCTGAGCTGTCAGCACAGAGCCCGATGCGGGGCTCGAACCCACGAACCGTGAGATCATGACCCGAGCCGAAGTCGGACGCTTAACCGACTGAGCTACCCAGGCGCCCCTGCCTTCCTTTTTAAATAACAGCTGTATTAAGATCCAATTCACATGCCCAAATTCACCCCGTTAAAGTGTGAAATTCAGTGGTGTAGAGTGTATTTACAGAGTTGTGCAACCAGCTCCACTGTCTAATTTTAGAACAGTTTCATCATCCCAAGAAGAAACCCTGTACCCATTAGCTGTCATTCTTTATTCCCTTCTCCCTCCAGCCCCTGGCAACCACTAACCTACTTTCTGTCTTTATAGATTTCCCCATTCTGGACATTTCATGTCAATGGAATCATACAATACGTGTCCTTTTGTGTCCGGCTTCTTTCACTCAGCATAATGTTTTCAAGGCTCGCCCATATTGTAAGCATGTATTAGAACTTCATTTTTTATGGCTAAATAATAGTCTATTGTATCACATTTTGTTGACCTATTCATCAGCTGATGTACAGTTGGGTTGTTTCCACCTATTTGGCTATTAGGTATAATGCTGCTATGAACATTTGCATATAAGTTAATGGTAACTCTATGTTTAACTTTTTCAGGAACTGCCAAACTGTTTTCCACAACAGCTGACCACTTTACATTCCCAACAGCAATGCATAAGCGTTCCATATCCTCACCCACGCTTATTTTATTTTCTTTAAAAATGGATATGTAGGGGGGCACCTGGCTGGCTCAGTTGGTTAAGCGTCTGACTTGGGCTCAGGTCATGATTTCACGGCTCGTGAGTTCGAGCCCCGCATCGGGCTCTGTGCTGACCGCTCAGAGCCTGGAGCCTGTTTTGGATTCTGTGTCTCCCTCTCTCTGACCCTCCCCTGTTCATCCTCTGTCTCTCTCTCTCAAAAGTAAATAAACGTTAAAAAAAATAGTAATAATAATTTTAAAAAAATGTATATATAGGGGCACCTGGCTGGCTCAGTTGGTTAAGCGCCCAACTTCGGCTCAGGTCATGATCTCACGGTTTGTGAGTTCAAGCCCCACATCGGGCTCTCTGCTGTCAGCACAGACCCTGCTTTGGATCCTCTGTCTCCCTCTCCCTCTGCCCCTCCCTTGTGCGCTCTCTCTCAAAACTAAATACACGTTTTATATATATATATATAGCCATCCTAGTGGGTAGGAGGTGGTATCTCATTTTGTACATCCTGTCTTGAGGGTCTGTTTTTTTTTTTTTTTAATTTTTTTTTCAACGTTTATTTATTTTTGGGACAGAGAGAGACAGAGCATGAACAGGGGAGGGGCAGAGAGAGAGGGAGACTCAGAATCGGAAACAGGCTCCAGGCTCTGAGCCATCAGCCCAGAGCCCGACTCGGGGCTCGAACTCACGGAGCGCGAGATCGTGACCTGGCTGAAGTCGGACGCTTAACCGACTGCGCCACCCAGGCGCCCCGAGGGTCTGTTTTAACACAAACTGTAGCATACGACACACACACTACACACTTGGCTTCTTCCACTTAATGTATTGTGGAGATCACATCCGTATGTACAAAACTGCTTATTCTTTTTGCTGACTTTACGGCGACCCCTTGTATGAAAGTGCAATCCCGGTCATTTACTTAACCAGTTTCTCCTGATAGGCTGCTGTGCTTCTTCCCAATCTTCTGTATCGTAAACAGTGCTGCAACGATTGCCTCTGAATACGCCATTCTCCACGTGCAGGAGTTTGCCTGCAATGACAAGTGAAGGTCTAGGTTAAGGGGCGTACACATTCTTTCGTTTTTACAGCCATTACCGAATTGATTTCCATACAGGGTACCCATTTGTACTCACCAGCAATGCAAGACATGTTCTTTAACCGGACCCAGGATCATAAGATCAAATTTGTGAAGATAGTGTATTCTTCACACAGTACTCGCACGTGGGCTGACTATGACTCCATAGGGGGTGTGAGATAAAGATAGGGTTCATAAGGAGCTTTTCTTTTCCTTTTTTTTAAAATATAATTTATTGTCAAATTGGCTTCCATACAACACCCAGTGCTCACCCCAACAAGTGCCCCCTCAATGCCCATGACCCACTTTCCCCTCTCCCCCACTCCCCATCAACCCTGTTTGTTCTCTGTATTTAAGAGTCTCTTATGCTTTGCCTCCCTCCCTCTCTGTTTGTAGCTTTTCCCCCCTTCCCCTCCCCCATGGTCTTCTGTTAGGTTTCTCAAGATCCACATATAAGTGAAAACATATGGTATCTTTCTCTGACTGACTTATTTCACTTAGCGTAATACCCTCCAGTTCCATCCATGTTGCTGCAAATGGCAAGATTTCATTCTTTCTCATTGCCAAGTAGTATTATTCCATTGTATGTATAAACCACATCTTCTTTATCCATTCACCAGTTGATGGACATTTAGGCTCTTTCCATAATTTGGCTATTGTTGAAAGTGCTGCTATAAACATTGGGGTACATGTGCCCTATGCATCAGCACTCATGTATCCTTTGGGTAAATTCCTAGCAGTGCTATTGCTGGGTCATACGGCAGCTCTGTTTTTAATTTTCTGAGGAACCTCCACATAAGGAGCTTTTCCTGATAAGCAGTCCCCAATGAGGAGGTAGAACGCAAAGAGAGTTTGTCTTGGGACCCTATCTACCCTCCTTTGGTGGAACAGTGGGGCCTTACTAAGATGCTGGGTAAGATAGTCATCTTTTCCTGTATTTCTCCAATAAAAAATGCTTACTTCGTTTCCAGTCTTCCATTTACTCATGGTGAATGTTACAATTCCAGATCCCCAAGCAAGGCATCTCCACCCTAGTTATGTTCTTACTTCATATTTGCCTACCACCCAGTTCTCTCTCTTCCTCTATTTCTGGGCTCCCAAGAACCACAGTACATTCATGATAGTGTGCTTTGGGAGCTAATTAGATTAATAACCACCATTTATTTTTCCCTTAGTCTATGCTAAGTATTTTACACCCATTCTTTAGTTTAATCTTCTTAACAGTCTTATTAGGTTACAACTATTATTGCTTCCATTACATAAATGAAGAAACTGAGGCCAGCAGAGCCCGAGGGCAACAACTAACAAATTGTGGAGCAGGATTCAGGCTCCAGTGTGACTAATTTCTAACCAATACTTCTACAGTACCTGGGGCTGGTTGTTAGATATTTTAGGTCTTATCTATCCAACTAGATGACAGCCTGCTTAGGATAAGAATTTGCCTCTAGGGGCTGGCTCAGTCAGTGGAGCAAGTGACTCTTGACCTCAGGGTTGTAAATTTAAGCCCCATGTTGGGCACAGAGATTACTTTTAAAAAAAGAATTTGCTGCAGGATCCCTGGGTGGCTCCGTCGGTTAAGCATCTGATGCCTGATTTGGGCTCAGGTCATGATCCCACTGTTCATGGAATCCAGCCTCAAGTCCGGCTCATGCTGAGCATGGAGACTGCTTGAGATTCTCTCTCCCTCTCTCTCTGCCCCTCCCCTGCTCATTCTCTCTCTCTCTCTCTCTCTGTCCCTACCCCCCTCTCAAAATAAATAAACATTTAAAATAAACATGTTTCTTTAAAAAGAAAAAAGAACCTGCTTCTAAATGGCTTAATAAAACAATAGCCACTACTTACTGAGCATCTCCTATTTATTTATTTATATATGATTTTCCCTAATTTACAGATTAGGAAACCAAGGCTCAAATAGATTGATTAATTTGGCCAGTATTGGAGCCAGGACAAGAATCCTGACTTAGACATCCCAGTACCTACCCAAAGATGACAGCCAATAATATTTGCAGCTGATAGTTGGGAAGCAAAGGGCTATCTATATTCTCTCAAACCCTGGTTATCTTCAGCTGGCATGACATTCAAGCAGTGACAGTGAATATGGGGGAGAGGGAATTGTTCGAGAGGTGCCCATCTCTTCCTTCCAGCTGTGTGAAAATAAAAATTTAAGGCTCACAATATGCAGACCCCAAAGGGTTATTGTGGAACTTCAGGGTTCGAGCACCAAACGTAGGCTACTATGAACAAAGTCCCTCTTTGGGACTTTTGTGGTCAATGATACAGATGATGTTAACACTCATGGAATGTTTTCTAATTTTTTTGTAAGTTTATTTATTTATTTATTTTGAGAGAAAGAGAGATAGTGTGAGCAGGGGAGGGGCAGAGACAGCGAGGGAGACATAGAATCCCAAGCAGGTTCTACACTGTCAGCATGGAACCCCCCCCCCCCATGTGGGGCTCCAACTCACAAACTGCGAGGTCATGAGCTGAGCTGAAACCAAGAGTCCAGCACTT